TCCTTAGGTAATATACAATAAAAAAACAGGAATACATGCTGGCGACCCTGCTGTAATAGTGGGGTCAACATGCTGTACCTAGACCTGAGCTCCTGAAGATCCCCATGCTATCCTTAAAGGCTCATATGCTGCGCCCCGTGCTGCTTCACCTCCTGCCCTCCTGCTGCTTCTCCTGCTGCTCCTCCCGCTGCTTCTCCTGCTGCTCCTCCTGCTGCCCCTCCTGCTGCTTCTCCTGCTGCCCCTCTCCTGCTGCCCCTCCTGCTGCCCGGGAGCACTGCTGGGGCTGAGGCATTAGCGCTGTCTCCGCGCATGCCCGGTCAGTGTTGGGGGAGCAGACGGGTATGGAACTGGGAGCCAGAGGTTCCAGATCTCAAAACTCCACTGCCAACAGTAGCCAGGCAGGTGACATGCGTGAGTGAAGGGTCTGGGTGACTGACATGTGACCTAGGACCCCAGGGATGTCGGTGTGGCGGGTACTTGGCAAACTGGAGGGGATGTGCCTGGTCTAAGGCAGCCACACTCTGTTCCAGTTGGTTTGTCATAAAAGGAAGTGGAAATGTTAATAGAACTTCCTATTTTTTCTAGAGAAGCTGAAAATCCAGATTTATTAGTGAATCTACCCAATAAGAAATGTATTTTGAAACCACTATTTGGGGCCGATTTTGGACTGCAAGACACTTGTAAGCCCAGCCGACCTGGTCCACATGCTGGCCTGGGTGTCGCTGTGACAGTGAGGACCGGCCTGCCTTGTCCCGCTGCCTCGCCTCCTCCCTGGCTCCTGTCCAGCTTCCTTTCCTGTGCCTCGTCCGGAAGGCCAGGCTTCAGGCTCATCTCCCTCCCGGCGCCTCCCACCTTCAGAGAAGACGACTCGGTCTCCTTGTCCCCAGCAGGAGCTGCGGAGGACTCTCCCAGGTGGAGTAAGCAGAGAGGGAGGAGCGGAGGGAGCCCAGGAGGGAGGAAAAGCGGTGTTGGCTTCCTCCCTGGGGAGCACCTGCCGGCAGTTGTGAAGCTCTTGTCTGGCAAGGACCCAAGCACAGAGCTGCTGGGGCCGGCAGGCAGGGAGGGGGCCTTGAGGGCGGGGCCCTGGGCAGCCTGGCACTGCGGGACCCCTGTGGCCCCGGTGTGAGGAACAGGCCTCGCCTAGAAAGTTCCAAGAAATGCCCACCCTGCCTGAAGACCTGGACGATATGAAGTGCACTCTCGTTGCCTCTCCTTCAAACAGCTTACCCAGCATCCTCCAGAAAGTGCCTGGTGAGAGCCCACGAAGCAACGAAAATGGCCGGGGAACCTGAAGGTGGGAAACAAAGGGGGGCCGTATGAAGAACAGGACAATCGGGCACCCAGCCCCGGTAGGAGCAGGTGCCGTGGAAACCCGCTTAGCAATCCGTCCTGCACCGATGTGCAGCCTCAGGCTTGCGGGTACCAGGGGTGTCCCGGGAACGGGCAGGATCAGACGGATCCTGAAGCCACGAGGGGCTTGCGGTCTCCCAGGAGCCTGAGCCAGACCCTGGGGGGCCCTCTCAGAGAAGAGAGGGGACAAAGTGATGGCCGACACCTGTGTGGTCCAGGACAGTGGCCTCTCGCCACATGTGGCTATTGAGAGCTTGATGTGTGGCTGGTCCCCGTGGAGATGTGTTGGGGCGGGAGGTGCAGATAGATACCAGAGTTTGAAGATTTAGTACAAACCAAAGAAGGTAAAATATGTTATTAACAGTTTTTATATTAATTATATGTTAAAATAATAATATTTTGGTTGTATTGGGTTGAAAGGAAACATTATTAACATTAATTTCATGTATTTCTTTTTACTGTGTTTACTGTGGCTACTAGAGAATTTTACGTTACGTGTGTGGCTCAGATGCTATTTCGAGTGGACATGCTTGTCTAGGTGCTGATGTAAGAGCCCCACCCTGGGCTGCTCCGTGTCAGACCTCCAGCAGCTGGTCCTACCTGCTCAGCTGTCACCTCTACCCCAGGCAGGAGACTAAGGAACCAAATAGCCGCAGACAAAGGGCCTATGGAGAGTGATGCTGGCAACCCTCCAGTACAGTGGCCACTCCTAGCCCAGTCTCCTTAGAGACATATGCCTCCCGACAACGGTGTTCAGTCAGCTCTGAAGTGACTCGTGCTTAAATATGAAAAGTCAAGGCCACTGGCATCTGAGGAAAGCTGGTGACATAAAAGACAAGGACCAAAACAATCAGAGAAAAGGAACTCAGAGGAAACAGACCATACAGGAGGCAGGAGGAAGTTGAACAAAGAACCCTCAGGAATATCATCAGAGAGATAAAAGATTATATCTGCAAGACACAAACAGGATGCTGAAAGCAGGGAGCATGCGGCGAACAAGGAAGAGGGCTCAGAAATGAAATATAGGATAACCAAGGTTTTTAAAAAATCCATAGATGGGTTGGAAGATAAAGACTAGGAATTGCCCAGAAAGCAGGACACAAAGAGCGAAATTAAAAGTAGGAAGAAACAATGAGAAAATTAGAGGTTGATTCCAGGATACGCATTCTCGGATTAAAAGTGTAAGAGGATAAAAACCTGAGGGGGAAAAACGGTCAATAGATAATGTAAGAATACTGCTTAAGAAATGAAGGATGTGAGTTTCCAGACGAAAGAGCCACCAGCTGCCAGCAAAAAGGATGAACACCTCCCTGTGACATTTTGAAAAAGGTTCCCCATCCCTGCCCCAAGAGAAGGTGACCTTGTCTGAAATAATCCACTCTTAACATCCTTGCCCAACTTCTTTCTGCCTATCAAAACCTTCCATTTTGAATCCATTCACCTCCAGAGAAGAACCCTTCAGTCTCCTGCCTGGGATAGAGGTGATAGCTGAGCAGGTAGGACCAGCTGCTGGAGGTCTGGTCCTACAGAGAGATGATCCCTCGGCTCATATAGAGAGAGATGTATAAAAAGGCTCAAGAAACGAATGACATAGCATGTCTCTAACATCAGATGTATAAAAAGGTTCAAGAAACGAATGACATGGTACGTCCCTAACATCAGATGCCAAAACAGAAGCCTTGAAAATTCTGGGTGAAAACGATCTTTCAATCTAATTTCTATGTTCAGTAAAACTACAAATTAGGTGTGAAAATTAAACAAAGATATTATCAGATATGCAATGCAAAAAAATATACTTTCCATGAACTCTTTCTTTCTTTCTTTTTTTCCCCATGAACTCTTTCTTAGGCAGATACTGGAGGCTGTGCTCCAACACAACCAGAGAGTAAACCAAAGAGAGAAATACAAGAAATAAAGGGATAAAATTTGTGGAGGGAAATGAAGGAGATTCTCAGCATAAAAGTTAAGGGAGTTGAGCAAATCTAGGGAAAAAACAGCCCAAATAGGGCAGGAAGGCAGAAGTCTCTAGAAAGAACATTGGTGAAGTTAAAAAGACAGAACAGACCTAAAATGGAGTTCCTTTTGCTAGGCCCCACCAAGACTTAATTCCTAACCTCATTACAGTGTCAGCCTCTCCCACGAGTGAAATTTTAAACCAGTCAATCTGAAATTCCCTGGTCAGCACTAGTGAGGTCATCTGCCTGATAAGACCTGTGGGGTGGGGTATATATGGCCCAAAATCATTGGGTCTGGCCCTGCCCAGGCATTAGGGGTGAGTTAATTAAATGTTTGACCGAATGTTGCAGGCTGATTTTTAAGTTGATAATTTTGTATGCCCGTGAATGATGTTCTAAATATCCAAATGGCCCTTGGCAGGAAAAAGGTTCCCCACCCCTGCCCCAAGAGAAGGTGACCTTGCCTGAAATAATCCACTCTTAACGTTCTTGCCCACCTTCTTTCTGCCTATAAAAACCTTCCATTTTTAATCCATTGAATTTTGTTCTTTAACAGTGAGTGTATTTGGTTGAATAGTGTGCTCTCGAAACTCATATCTACTCAGAACCTTAGAACCTATTTGGAAGGAGGGTCTTTGCAGGTGTAATTATGTAAAATCAGGTCAACCTTATAAGAATGTCAATCATATTGGGACCCTGATCCAACATGATTGGCATCCTTATATGAAGACCACAAGAAACACAGAAAGAGAGGAGACATCGAGGGAAGAAGACCATGTAATGATGGAGGCAGAAATTGGAATAATGCAGCTACAAGCCAGCGAACACCAAGGATGCGAGCAATCCCCAGAAGCGAGGAGAGAGGGGTGGAGCGTATCGTTCCTCAGAGCCCTCAGGAGGAATCCTTGGTGAAACCTTGGTGTCTGAGAACTTCTGGTCTCCAGAACTGTGAGAGAATAAACTCCTATTGTTTTACACCTCCAAGCTTGTGGCAGTTTGTTACAACAGCCCTAGGAAACTAATACAACAGGAAGAAAACAAACAGGTGGGAACTAATAGATGTGGTGTTGAATTTGATGATTTGGGAAATAGCATTGGAGAATTTTCCAGTTCTGTTGGACAATTTGGGAGAATTAGTACAGCAATATAAAACAAATAAGTAAATGAAAAATTACTCCATGAAAAATAAATAGCTAAATATTGGAAAATATTGTACACCACTTGGCTCAGTAATAAACAATATTTACATAGATAAATGATGTTTGCGTTGAATATGATTTAACCAAAAACTGTGAAAAGCTCTAATGGTAGGATAGAGGTAATGGATGAAGAAGTTTTATATCCTTATCTTCTGTCATCAGGAGTCAATAAATAATGCTTCATGTGGATAAATTTAAAAAATAGTAGATTATTGTTAAAAGCAAGAGAGTACATTATAAGAGGAACAGTTGTAGAGTTGAAGGATGCAGAAGTGAGGGCAGGAGACTGCTTTTTCATTATTATTATTATAAGCCTTGTAGTCCGTTGTAATTCTTTAAACCAAGAACATATATACTTTGATAAAAATAGCAATTTCAAAAATTCCCTGCCTCAATTTGGGGGGCTCTGGGCAAAGAATATGGATTTTGAGGACCACCTGTTCATTGTCTTCCATCTTTAATAGAGAGATGGGGGGAAAGGGAAAAACTAACAATGGCTCGAGTGAGTGTGCTCAGTGTGGTCCCTGGACCAGCAGTGTTATAAATGCAGAGTCTCAGGCTCCACCGCTGGCCACTGGCTCAGAGACTCTGGGGCCAGTTGGGTTTGACACTGAGGAGGAGGAAGAAATTTTCCTCTACCCTTCTTGGTTCTTCCAGCTGGTATAATAATCAAATCAACCTAAGTCAGATCAGCAACAGAAAATACCAAATTTAATTACATATAGAAACCCTACAGACATGAGAGTCAGAGACACCACATGCATGAGAGGCTCAGAGACAGAAAGGGAGATGGGTACATATGGCAGTCAGAGACAACGATGAGGCAAGGTGTCTTGGAGCTTCAGAGGGGAGGAAGTCACTGCAAGATGATAGAAAGAGCAGAGATTCAGTAATTAGAAGTTTGCCCTGCCCTGTAAACAGGTCATAAAAAGTTATTTCTGATAATAACGCTTATTATGGGCAAGGCCCCAAATTTAAATTTGAGAGAGATAAAAATTCCTTATGAGCCCACAGCATCTTGATTGCCTTCAGCTCAAAATAGTTCACATGTCAGAGTGGCTCATCTTGGGGAGCCTATTCTGAATGCCTTCAACATGCCCTCCACGTGACTCTGGTGCCAGCCCCAGCTGCAGCCCCACCAGCCTAAGTTCACTGATGAGTGGGAACTTTGGTTCATGCCCAATAAAAGCCAGACGTGTCAACTCTTCTCTGGGGTACAGGCTGAAACCCAGCCACCTGGTAAAGTGGATAAGTATTAAGCACCTCAAAGTGTTCATTCCCTTCTGACTCAGTGACCACTTCTAGAATTCTGTATAACACATGGAATAAGCTTTGCCCATTCATCAGCTTGTTATTTATAATAGTGAAAAATTATAAACAACTTAAATGTCCAAATCATAGGTATTTGGTTAAATACATCCACAGAGAAGGAAAGATGTTTATGGAAGAGTTGAAAGAACACAGAGCATGCTTGTGTGTTAATGGAAAGAAGCAAAGTCCAAATTCTACTTGCAGAATGACCACAACTGTGTGGTGGAAACTGGGAGGAGGAAGAACAGCCTGGAAGCAAACCCCAGAAAATGTTCAATAGATGGGCCTAGGGTACATTTTTTTCTACTTAAAAAATTTTTTTTGCAAAGTTTTACAGTGGGCATGAGAGTTAAACAACCTGTCTCTGTGGAAACAAGTTGAGTACGAATTGAGGAGGGGCTGCTGCTCTTGCAAGAGAAAGGCATGTCACAGATGGACAACTGCAGGCCTTCCTGCACGCTCTCCTGGGGGCTGTGTAGGCAGAGAGGCCCGGAGAGAACACCGCTTCTGTTTCATATGCTGCTCTGTCCCTAGGCCTGGCACATAGAAGATGCTCACTAAATATTTGAGAAAGAAAGGAAGGCTCTCATTATCTCATTTAAACCTCCTAGAAACCTGTAGGAGATACCACAATGCGAGTTTGTCTTCCTGCTAAATGACCAACCCTCTAAGCTGTGGAAATGGTTTTGTTTTTGTTTTTGTTTTTGTAATCTCTGTAAGCCCCTCTGAGCATAAAGAAGTGCTTGAAGAAAATGAATAAATTATGCTCCTGTTATTATAGAGGATGAAACTGCCCATGTCCATACAGCGAAATCCTGGCAGATCTGGCGTCAAGGCTCCGTGAGTTGGGCTCCAAGCTGGGTGTTCTATTGGCAGAGTCAGCTGCAGCAGGCAAGTCCTGGCTCCCCGGGCACCCCGGGACTAGCGGCCTATGAGGCTATTCAGAGATCACAGAGCCCCACAGCCGCTGCCAGCCAAGTGTCATGTGCTAATCGGGCAGCATTCCATTCCAAAGCAGGAGGACTTCCCTGACGGTCTGATAAGGAGATAGGGCCCTTCCCTGTAGGATTAGACAAGCAGAAAAGAAGTGTAGGGCATTCCTGGTTGGGGCACTTCTTAATTACAAGCGCCAAGAAGAAAGAAGGGGAAGCTAGTGGCTGGTACACATGACTATCCTTGTAAGCCTGTGAGTCACCCCTGGGAACCTGGCTCTCTCTCCAGAGCCCAGTAGGCAACTTACATATGTTTATCAAATGAAAAACTGATAGATGGATGGATGGATTGATTGATCTTCATTAATGGCAGAATAGAAGTTAAGAGGCTTTAAAAATAGGCCATGGTTTGAATCCTGGGTTTGCCCTTGTCTACAGTGTGAGTTGAACATTTTATGTCACATCTCTAAGCCAAGGTTTCTCTGAGAGGACTCTGAAGGTTGTGATGATAAAATAATGCATGAAAAGTGCTGAGCTCACCCTGGCTGGTTTGGCTCAGTGGGTAGAGCATTGGACTGCAGACTGAAGGGTCCTGGGTTCGATTCCGGTCAAGGGCACATTCCCAGGTTGCAGGCTCGATCCCCAGTAGGGGGTGTGCAGGAGGCAGCTGTTCAATGGTTCTCTCTCATCATTAATGTTTCTATCTCTCTCTCTCTCCCCCTTCCTCTCTGAAATCAATAAAAATATTTTTTTAAAGTGTTGAGCTCAATGCCTAGCACATAGTAAGTGCTCAAGATATGAGAATTGTGCCCTAGCCAGTTTGGCTCAGTGGATAGAGTGTTGGCCCTTGGACTGAAAGGTCCCCGGTTTGATTCCAGTCAATGTTTCTGTGTCTCTCTCCCCCTCCCTTACACATTCTCTCTCTCTCTAAAAAAAGAAGAAGGAGAAGGAGAAGGAGAAGGAGAAGGAGAAGGAGAAGGAGAAGGAGAAGGAGAAGGAGAAGGAGAAGGAGAAGAAAGGAGTTTTATTATTCTCGTTGGCCAGAAAGGAAAGAGGAAAGAGATGTAATGGGGTCTGCAGTTGACTGTCTCGCTATCATTTCCCCTCCTTCCTAGAAACTGAATCCTGATTTCCTTTGAGAAGCTGTGTGATTTGAATAGCTTAAGCCAATCAGTGTATTCCATCCCTGTGTATTCCATCCAATCACAGGCCCCTGTGATGGGTCCAAGGATGTGTATGAGACTTACACTGGTCCAATCAGAGTCCAATCAGAACCTCAGGAAATTTGCTGGAAATGCTAGGACAAAGCATTCCCAGCAAGTGGAGATGCTGTGCCTCATTAGATGTAACAAGAAAGCCGGTAGCCCAGAAGCTGGGAGCACTAACAGAACGCCAAGTAGAAAGAAATGCTGCTGAGCTGCTGAATTCAGCCTCACCTGAAGTTAGTGACCCCTGGGCTTCTCAGTTACATGAGCCACTTAATTTCTTTTATATTTAAATCCTATATAAGCCAGATTTTATGATATCTACAGTCAAAAGCACCCTAACCGATATAGAAAGGAAGCAAAAATGAGGACATCTATATGGAATGTCTAAGGAAGATGAGGCAACAAGTGTTGAGTAGGATCAAATTGTAAAAAGCTTCGGATGCCTGAAATTGGGGCTAAATTTTAGCTAATATTTCCCATTTGACAGATAAGTAAACTGAGGCCTGATGGTTAAACAGCAAGTAACTTATCTAAGATGATACAAGTTAACTCAATTTAAATGTGGAGCTGGAACTAGAAACCAACTTCTGACTCAGCGCCCTTTCCCACATACCACTCGGCCACTGTCCCCACAGAGAAACATACCCCATCCGAGGGCGACACAGCCCTGGAGGCACTTCCTGTCTGAGAAGAAGGAGACGGCGAGGAGGGTGTGAAGGTAGAGGCCCTCCGCCAGCAGCCAGGCGTAGTTGGCCAGGATGCAGTACTGGAAGAAGACCATGATCAGCTTGCAGCCCACCTGGACAGAGAGAGGCAGGTGAGTCCCAGGATGGGCGAGTGTGGGCTGTCCTCTGGTGGCCACCTCACAGGCAGTGACAAGGTATGGTGGGGGTCAGGGGCCAGGCCACAGAGTGACCCCTGGGCCTCACGGCCATCCCCTGTGGCCTTCCACTATCAGAAGACCACAGTTGGTAGGCTCAGTCACGATGGCATCGTGGAAGCAGGAACTGCATTCACATTTTGGAATTGGCTACCAGTTGTAAAATTGTGTCAGATATTGCCCAACCCCTAACTCCCTCATTTTTCAGATGAGGAAACTGAACTAGAGAGGAAAAGGCACATTTAAAGGGTTAAAATCCTTCTGAGCTCAGTATCCCTGGAAATGGATGAAGAAGGGACATGCCGAGTATGATGGGGCAACATTGATTATAGTGAAAACGGCCCCTGGCTGGTACATGGCATCCGGACCGGAGCCCTCTAACACCTGATGAGGCTGCCACAGTATCGGCCTTGCTTGATTCAGCGACTCTTACAGCAAGCATGGCCCTTGCGGGATCCCTGGGAGCTATGCCTGTGGGATTGTGGGGTTCAAGGCCAGCATGGCTCCTATACTCGTCTCATGAGGGTCCCCTTTCCTCTCACTGAGCTTTCCCCTAGGGACAGGACAGCTCCTGGGCTGGCGTGAGGGCTGCTGCATGGACTGCTGCAAGGTTACGTCCAGAGAGCAGGCGTTCCCACTGCTGCACTGCAGGCCATCTGTGGTTTCACCCTGTGGCCTCCCAGAGACTCTGATTCCAGGCGTGGTTCATGGTTGGCTCAAAAGTCTGATGTTAGCAGAATCCAAGAAGCTTCCCTGCTGGGCACAGCTGGACTTCTCCACCGCTGGTCAGGGATGAGGGGGGTGTCCTGAATGAGTCCTGACCCGCCCCCCCCCATCTGCTACTGTTACTTCATCCTGGAGACCTCCCTGAGAGTCATGGTTCCCACTTTAGGGACCTCGTAGTTTGAGTCAGAAACACACACACACACACACACACACACACACACACACACACACAAACTATAAACACACACCTAACAGGTCAATAAGGAATTCCAGGTGTGAGTGCTGGAAAGTGGCAGTCAGGTGACTGAACCAATCTGTTTCCAAACCCCTTCTCCCTCACTTGTGTCTGCTTTGGAGACTGTACTAGTAAAAAACTCAATCCCCCAGATTCCTTTGCAGTTAAGTATGGTCACCCAACCCAGTTCTAGTCAATAAGAGGTAGGTAGGAGTCTTGGGGAGGGTGTTCTTTCCCAAACAAAAAGTCAAAGCCTCCCAAAGAGAAAAAGTGTTTAACCTTCGACTTAACTCCTTTTTGTCTGGAACGTGGATGTGGGCCTGGGGTTGCAGGAGCCATATGCAAACATGGCATGAACATGGGAGCAAGAATGGCAGAGCACAAAGAGGGACAAGGACTGTGTCCTTCATGGCGTCATGGAGCCACGGTGCCAGCTCTGGGTTGCCCATCTACGGACTGCATACGTGGGGAACAACCCTTCTGACTAGGCCACTGGCGGATAATTTTCTGTTACGTGCACTAAAGGGGTTCCCATGGGCACAAAGTGATATTACAATGAATTAAGACTCATCTGAGCACATTCAGAAGAGGAAGAGGGTGAGATTGAACCAAGCATGATGGTTTCACTGCAGACCTGTGTGTGCAGACATACAGGCATATGCTCACCCCCTTCTTTCTACAACCAACCCAACCCTCTCTAGACTTAGCCATCTGTCTACAGCGGGGCTTGGCAAGAGTAGAGGAAGGAGGATCCTTGCTATATGTCTCAGCCTCAGAGTGGCTAATCCCGGACCTGGGAGCTGAGTGGCAACCCCCCAGTGGCTTCCCCATAAGCCGAGCTCATACAGGACCCAGCCTGCATGTGGGGGGTGGGGGCGTGGAGCTCTCCCTGCATCTCCTGACCCGGCCCCAGCTCTTGGCCCTCTACTATGGGCATTAGCGCAGCCTCAGCAGGGACTCTGGGAGGAACAAGGCTACCACCCTCTCCAAAGTGAGCCACGCGCTGGGGCGCGGAGGCACGTTACCCGGTGGGTTTCACAGTGGTCGTCATCGTCTGAGAAGAGCACAGCATCCTTGATGAAGTTGGACAGGGCGCGCAGGATGAAGGACACGAACAGGTGCATGTGGATGTAGTTGCGGGTGCAGTGAAGCCTCCTGGAGGGAGAGAAAGCAGGGCCATAGGGGCCCGAGCTGGGAGGAGCCAGGGTGCAGCAGGCCCACCCCTCTCCCAGTGCACAGGGGAACCAGGCCCTGGACACGGCTCTTCCCAGGTGACACATTTCTCTGTATTGCTTTGTTAGTACAATCTGCCTAAGAACCCAGGTCCCCAGGTGCTCGGTCTACTCTGTCTCATGCTGTAATAATAATAATAACAAAAGCTGGGTCACAGGGGCAGCATTATATTCTTCCTTGACCTACTGCATCTCTAGCTTCTAGAATTGTTCAGAAGGGATGGGGGAGAGGGGTCCAAGAGGAGAGCAGCACAGAGAGAACACGGGCTTCAGGGAGAAGACATATTCTTCCTTGACCTACTGCATCTCTAGCTTCTAGAATTGTTCAGAAGGGATGGGGGAGAGGGGTCCAAGAGGAGAGCAGCACAGAGAGAACACGGGCTTCAGGGAGAAGACATACCTGGGCTCTGCCGCTGTCAGTTGTATGACCTGGAGCTAGCCCTCCTAGTTAAATGACCTGGAGCTAGTCTTGTGAGTTACATGACCTGGAGCTAGCCTTCCTAATTAAATGACCTGGAGCTAGTCTTGTGAGTTACATGACCTGGAGCTAGCCTTCCTAGTTATATGACCTGGAGCTAGCCTTGTCAGTTATATGACCTGGAGCTAGCCTTGTCAGTTATATAACCTGGAGCTAGTCTTTCACTCCCATAGCCTGTTTCCTAATCTGCTGTCAGGGACAGAGGTCTGTTACTTGTTCCCATTGGCCAGGTACCAGACCAGGCTTTCTTAGGGGGAACCCACTCCAACTCTGGTGGGTTTGACTCCACCCTTCCACCCTCATGACAGACCTTACCAATTGGAGTTCTCCAATCCTGGCCACAGTGATTGGCTCAGGGTTGGGCATGTGACCCAAGTTGGGCCTATGAGAATTCCCCCAGGACTTCCATTGCATCTAACAGGGAAGAGACTTTCTTTGTGCTGGTGTTGCAGAATGATAGCATGTACCCCTGCAGCTGCTGGTGGCTGTCTCTGCTCCCCTGCAGAAAGTCAACCCCAGGATGAGGCCAGTGCAAGCGGAGAAATGGAGGGAGACCAACCTAGTTGTGCCAATACCCTTGAGCGCCTAGATTCAGCCAGATGCCCCTGAACTTGTCAATTATGTGGGTCAGGTCACCTTTGTTTGAAGGTTTCTGTTTCTTGCAACCAAGAGTCTGGCTAACATACCTGTAAAGTTAGGGTAATAGCATTGAGTGAACATTAGAAATAACAACGTGTAAAGCAACTGATATGGTAAGTTCCTAGCAATGCTCAGTAAATGTTGAGTGAATAAAGGAATGAACAGGGTCACAAACTTCACAGGAAGGTCAGTCACTGGAACGTCTGCCACAGGTCAGCTTAGATCAAGAGGTGACAAAGTGGCCCACCCTCTGGCCCGAGCAGTTAAAAGAGATGCAAAGTCTGTGTCCAGGGAAGGCTGGGGAGATGGAGAGCTGCTCACGTGTTCTCACCTGAAAGAGCAGAGGATGCTGAGGGCAACCAGGAGCATCACCAGGGAGGAGCTATAGCCCACGGTATACATGACCTTCAGCTTCAGCAGGTACTCGTGCTGCAGAGAGAGGCATGTGTCAGCCCCATCCGCCCACCTGGCTGGCTCTGCTCTCTTCTGCCTCAGAGTGTACCCGCTTCAGGCTGCTTGAATCCCTTCAACCCAAACTGCCAAGGGCACCAATTCATAGACTCACAACATCTTGGCTTTGGAACTCAAACTTATATCCCTCTTACCTCACCCTGAATTTAAAGGCTCTGCTTGAATACCTCTAGGGACAAGGTGCTCACTGCCTTCCAAGGAATAAGGAAGTCATTTGGTATACAGCAGTGCAAAATACTAGGTATTTTTTTCTCATCTAAAGCTAAAACCTATTTATTATCTTTTGAATTGCACTTATTATTTCTTAAACCATTTAAAATAAACTGAATTTGACTTGTACCCAAGGCCTGTCCTTATTTTTAAAAAATAAGCTTTTCAGTTTAGAATAGTTTTAGTATAACAGAAAAGTTACGAAGACCTTACGGAGAGGCCTGTCATTTTTAATACAGCTATTCCACCAATCTGTGACTCACTTATCTTCTCAGCATTAAATGTTCCCTGTGTCTTTAATCTCTTTCCACCTCCTTCACCATTTTGCTCAATTAATATGCTCCAATTTGTCAAGGTCCTTATTAAATAAAATACCCAGAACTGGATAGCTGAAAAGCTCCAGAGGTATCCTCTCTCCAGGAAGCAGTAGAATGGGACCATCACCTCCCCTGGTCTACACACTGCGCTCCTGTTAATGTGGCCAAGCAGGCACTTACTCATTCAGTAGCCACTTCACACTCTTGGTTCATCTTTGATTCAAAAAGATCTCAATGGAATAAAATAAATTGACATATAGAGATAAATGTAAAGACCTGCATTAGGTTAAAAAAATAAATTGTACAACAGCCTTAAAAATAATCAAGGAAGTAAAAATTTTAAAAATAATATTATACCATTTTTTATTCAACCAAATTAAGAAATATTTGGAAGTAATCATATTCTATGCTGGTGAGGGTATGGTGGGAGTGGAAATTGTTCAATCTCTCTGGAAAGGATCAGGGACTAAGAACCTTTGAAATAGGCTTTCCTTCTACCTCCAGGAATTAATTCTAAGAAATAATCAGACATATAATGCATATTTACATATAAATATATTTATCAGAACTATTTTGATGAAAAACATTCAAATGCCCAACAATAGAATAGTTAACTGATTATTTTATTTTTTAAACTAAATTATTTTAAATTCGAATTATTTTAATGTTAGGCCACCACTAAAATGCTGCTTACCAAGCGTTTGAAAAGATGTCAGGACATGCTAAGAACGTAATGTCAAGGGAAAGGCAGAATACAATTCACATGACAGTAGATATCCTCTCTGCAAAAAAGTGTTATGTCAAGTTACATGAAATCGCCCCTTTCTGTAGATAAAAAATGACTAAATATGGACGTTTCATGTATTCCAATCTCACATGCTTAGAAAGGAGATAGTTAGGAGATGTGTTAGATGTTAATACCTGTTCGCTTTGGATGACAAGTTGGTGGATAGCGCTGTTGTTTTCAGTTGTGTTTTTCTACCTTTCATTTTGCTACAGTGGGTCAGTCATACTTTGTAACCAGAAGAAAAAGGGTATTTGATTTAAAAAGAAAACAGGCGCAGGAATAGTATTGGGGAAACGGGCTGGCTGACAGCTATTCATATGAAAATGACCTTGAGGCCGAATGGCCAAAGCTTCAAGTGTTAGTGAAGTGTCCTGCAGAAAGAACACAGGCTTCAGAGCCAAGGAACAAGGGTTCCAAACTCAGGACTCTTACCAGCTGTGTGACCCTGGGCAAATTACTTAACTTCTCTGAGCCTCAGATTCCGCATCTGCAAAATGGGAATAATATCTACCTTGTAGGCTTGTTGGAAGAACATATAAGGTATCAGGTAGAGTGTCTACCAGGGGTCCTCAAACTATGGCCCGCGGGCCACTTGCAAATACAAATATTGTATTTGTTCCCGTTTTGTTTTTTTACTTCAAAATAAGATATGTGCAGTGTGCATAGGAATTTGTTCATAGTTTTTTTTTAAACTATAGTCTGGCCCTCCAACCGTCTGAGGAATAGTGAACTGGCCCCCTGTTTAAAAAGTTTGAGGACCCCTGCTAGACAATGGCTGGCACTTAGAAGACAGGCAGGGCATGTTAATTTTCCCCACCTCCACCCTCCACCCCCATCATCCACCCTTCAACATGACTCAGCAGTATGCAATTGCTGTTCAAGATTATGCTATGAAGTATAAGGTATGAGGTAGCTGTTGGAAAAACTCTGCCTGCTCCCCGTTACATAGTGGAGTGCTTGGGAGCAGCCAGCCACATTGGGACATCTGGAGTATTTGGTCCAGCCTGGGCGTGTTATTTTAAGAGGCACATTAATAAACTGGAGTATTTCCAGAGAAGGCTGATCTTGTCACCTGAAGAGCACATGATTGAACTGGGTACACTACACCCAGAGGGATGAACAAACTCCGGGAGGACACTATCAGGTCGATGGACACGTAGAAGCAGAGTAAGACCTAATGTGTGAGCTCTGGTGGGAGGACGTTACCAGAAAGTAGGTTTGACTCCGAGTGACCAAAAACTTTCTGGCAGCAAGAGGTGACCTCTGACAGGATGGCTGCCTTGTGACATTGAGCTTCCCCACTGATGTCACTGCAGTCCCAGGAGCCAGGAGCCACCTTAGAGGCACAAGGCAGAGAGCCAGAAGGGCAGTAGGTTGCATCAGATGAATGGTTCCTAGACCTTTAATCAGAGAGCAGTGAAGTGTCAAAACACTGGAGGACCCACATGAGCCCCATAGCTGAGGGTGTTGGCCTCACCCTCGGGGACGCCTGGTTTCGCAGCCCTCAGTTCAGGAGCAGTTGGGGCAGCCTATGGCAGCATGAGGAGGCCCAGGTGACAGCGTAGTGTTCAGGCTGAGTATTCTGTACTGGTCTGTGGCTGGGGTCATTGTCCACCTCTGACCCTCAGGACACATGGGCCAGCTCTCATGCAGACCTGGTCCTGCCCTATGTCTTTAAGGTTTGACCCAGAAAGAGTCCTGTTACCAGGAGGCCTGATGCAACCTCAGTATCTCTGCCCTTGACAGTTGCAACAACTGCACCACCTGCCAGAGAACACGGGTCCAGGATCCTCACTGCTGTCCATCAAGGGTCAAGTTACCTATGGCTCTGCTTTGTATTCTGACTGGGCCACCTTCCTTCTGCATCCTCTAGATTGGGGTCACCAGGCTTTTCCCATACAGGGCAAGCAGTAAATATTTTAGGCTTTGGGTGCCATAAGATCTCTTTTGCAGCTAACTCAATTCTGCCCTTGTAGTGCAAATGGACGTGGCTGTGTTTCAATAAAACTTTATTTGCAAAAGCAGGTGGTGGATCCGATTTGGCCCAAGGGTTGTAGCTTGCCAACTTCTGCTGTAGGTAAGCAAATCCTATCTTATTTGTTCAAGTGATATCTTTGACTGGTCTTTCCGCCAGTCTGAGTCCACTCTGTCAATAATCTTTGTCAATAATAGAGAGGTGTGTGCCAAGTAAGGAAGTTGAGAGAAAACCAACAAATCCAGACTTTCACCATCATTTGATTAAAAGAAAAAAGAATTTCAGCAATAATAAATGGGATGATCAGCCCTGGCTGGGTGACTCAGTTGGTTAGAGAGTTGTCCTGCACACCAAAATGATTGCAGGTTCGATTCCTGGTCATGGCACATACACAGGTTGGGGGTTTGATGCCCAGTCTAGACACGTTCAGGAGGCAACCAATTGATGTGTCTTTCTCACATCAATGTTTCTCTCTCCCTCCCTTCCATTCTATCCAAAAATCAATAGGCAAAAAAAAAAAAAAATACCATTGGGTGAGGATTAAAAAGAAGAAGAAGAAAAAAACCCCTTCCTCTTTCGCTAAATCTAATGGGGAAAAAACCACATATCATCCCGAGAGGATTTAAACTAAATAAATAAATAAGTAAGTAAGAAGGATGGTTCAAATCTCAGAATAAAAGACAAATTGTGTGCCGATTTGTGGACCAGCATTTATGGGCCATTGTGAGTCATATGGTCTGGAACCCTTCCAATCTTAGGGACTTTTGAATTTTTTCTTAATGTGAGCTGAAGCCAAGTAGGTCTCCTTCCCACTATTTTTGGACAATAATTGTCTGAGGTAAATCCAACTTTGCATTAACCCCTTTCCGCCTCAGTTTCCTCACCTGCAAAATGGAGAACATGATGAACTTACACTGAACGCTTTTCAGCATTAATGTGATTGTGCATTAAGCAGCTGGCACGAGGTAGATGCTCAGTCCAACAATGAGCATTAGTGGGCAGCAGGCATCGTGCTGGGCGGTGGGGCCAGGAAATGACTCTTTTCAATCTGTCACTGCTGTGTTTCCATGCTTAGCCCCGGGCCTTGCCCAAATGTTTGTCGAGTATTGAATGGAGGCTTTTGAGGAGCTCATATTTTAGTGAGAGAGATGCGTGCCCATGGACATGCTGATGACTTCACAGAATACGGTAATAGCTGGAGGCTAACACAGTCAGGGAGCCCCTCCTGGGGGACAGGCAGCAGCAGCTTTCTGGGGTTGGTGCTCTGGAGTGGAGTTTTAAAGGTTGTGTACGAGCCGGTCAGGAAAAGCAAGGAGGTAAGGGTTCTCTGAAATTGACAGCTACTTCAGGAGGCACCCGGAGAAGTTCAGCCCACGGCTCACAGTGTCCTCTCTCAACCCAGGACTGACTACCCTGGGGCTGGGCTTTCTCTTTTGAGAGCGAACATTGATTGAGCACTTACTATGGCCAGGCACCCAGCTCACCACTTTCATGGATTAACTCGTTTAATTCTCAAGCCTGTGAGGTCAGAACAGCTGTGGGCAAACTACGGCCCCCGGGCCGGATCTGGCCCGTTTGAAATGAATAAAACTAAAAAAAAAAAAAAGACTGTACACTTTTATGTAATGATGTTTACTTTGAATTTATATTAGTTCACACAAACACTCCATCCATGCTTTTGTTCCGGCCCTCCGGTCCAGTTTAAGAACCCATTGTGGCCCTGGAGTCAAAAAGTTTGCCCACCCCTGGGTCAGAACGATTATTAACCCCATTTCCCTGATGAAGAAACTGAGGCACAGAGGAGTACAGTCGCCCACACCCCCACCGAGGTCACAGGTCAGGGCTGAGGCTCACCAGCCTGGTCTGAGCGTGTAGCCACCACATAGCTTCTCTTTTGGTTTCATGACCAAATCCCCCGACTCATGGCAGCATATGGCAGTCCACCTGTGCCATGGCCCACAGAGCCCCAGGTGATGTGCCGGACAAAAGTGGGTGGGAGCCGCAGCCCCAGGTCACTGTCCTTGGCCGGGTGCTGGGACTTCTCCCCCTGTAGGGCCCTTCCAGAGAGATTGACAGGCTTACCCGCTTCTCGTCGGTCTCCTTGAACGAGTCATTCACGTTGACCCCACAGGCCAGGTCAGGCCTGGGGAAGATTTCTGACCAGCCGCCCGGTGTGCAGTTTCGAAACATGGAACCTGTGGATGCCAAGCATGCTGTGCGTGAGCCGTGGGGACCAGGGACAGAGGCTGGGCCTCCTGGGCGCCCTCAGCAATGCCTTAGGGCAGCCCGGAGCTTCCTCTGCCACTTTGTCCGCAGCTGCCTTTCTCTGAACCAGAGTCCACTCCAGCTGGCTCAATTGATCCTTGAAGAATACATAGGTCTGTCCGTCAGTAGAAGTGGAGGGAGAGGTAGTAGGCAGCTGGGCCTAGAAGGGGCAAAGACCTGGTGTGTGTGTGTGTGTGTGTGTGTGTGTGTGTGTGTGAGAGAGAGAGAGAGAGAGAGAGAGAGAGAGAGAGAGACCTGCGGATCCCTGACACTCGATCTACAAACTAGCAAACATCCCTCCCAGCCTCCAGTCACCGCTTGTCTTCCTCCCACCGCCTCACCCACACCCACGGCCACAGTGCCAGGCACCAGGGTGCACGAGGAGGGACTGGCCAGGGCACAGCACTCAGTGGCCCCAACAACAACTCAACCAGAGCCAGGCCCCAAGTGTCCCGGCCACGGCAGCCTTCAGGGTCCCTGCTCCGGGGCCAGCCCACTCCAAGGCTCTCTGAGTCCCCTGTTCACTCCCACCTGCCCCCTCACCCTTCCCTCCGCAGGCTCCAAACTCAGCTCCAAGGTCCCTCAATGCTCACGGAGGGCCTTCCTCTGCCTGCCTTCCCCCCGCCGCTGGCTGACCTGCACCACTGGCATCTGGAGCTCCCTGCCCAGCTCCAGCACAGGCTGTACCCCATGTCCTCACATGGGGTGCAGTGGCTCCCCTGCATCCCTAGCAGGTGATTTCTGAGGGCTCCTCGCACCCGCCCAGAGTCCCTGCTCTCCAAACATTGGCTGGCTGGCTGGAGAAGCAGATGAGGGGTCAAGAGCCTGCTCTGAGCTCTCCATGGGGGAGAGGGGAGACCTTGCCCACCAAGAGCCTGTAGAGCAGGAGCTGGAGCACTGGGGGAGGGGAGCTGCCAGCCAAGGGGGTGCCTTGGAGAGCCACCAGGAGCTTCCCTCCTTGGGACAACAGGCTCAGCTGCATCGCCACTCTGGCTGCCAAGAAGGGCTGAGTTCCGGTCCCCAGGTCAGGCTGCTGTGGGTGCTGCAGGGGTGCAGGGAGCTGATCACAGCCCTGACACTGCTTTTGCTCTCATCTGTACCCTGTCTGGGGGCCCCTGAAGCCCCCCAGCTGGGATGGCATGCACCTTCTGACAAGCTCCAGGTTCGGCTCACTGGCTCTCAGGGTTTAGGCTCAAGCAGATTCCACTGAGCTGGAGAAATACGAGTGTACTAACTAGTATTTCCAGGACCAGCCAATGCGAACGTGCGGATGCTGATCTAATCGTCAGAGGGCCCAGTGAGGCAGGCGCTGCTGGCCATTTTACAGATGAGAAAACCAAGGCTCAGAATGGGGTAACAGTGCCCAGCTAGGACATGTCCCATCACTGTACTGCCTTCCGGCCTGGCCCCCTCCCTGCAGACCCAGGGGCAGATCCAGCAGCAGGAGACCATGGGCTTAATGCCTCACAGGTAAGTGTCCTTACGGAGCCCTGAAAGCACGGTCAGTGTTTGTGTGCACACGCATGGTGTGGTCCCAGGACCCTCCTCAGGTTAGGAACCTCTGCTGCTTTAAGGCTGCAATCCCCACTAAGACAGAGGGGCAAGAGGGCCAACCTGCCCCCGCCCCCCCCCCCGGGAGTGGGTTTTTAAGGAACTTTGGAAGACCAGTGCCCTTTTAAGACTCAAAGGGATGCATCCTAGAGGGAACATTCTAGGCCTGCCACACACAGAGAAATATCTGGGCAGAATCCAGCGGTAGTTTCTCTAGTCACACAGACACCCCTCCTGTCTGGGCCCATGCAGTGGGTGCCCTGAGATAGAATTAAGTTGCTATTAGTTTCTTCTTACTAAAGGAGGGCTCACCCTAGTTGGGTTGGCTCAGTGGATAGAGCCTCGGCCTGAGGCCTGAAGGGTCCCGGGTTCGATTCCGCTCAAGGGCACATGCCTGGGTTTCGGGCTTGATCCCCAGTAGGGGTGTGCAGGAGGCAGCCGATCAATGATTCTCTCTCATCATTGATGTTTCTATCTCTCTCTCCCTCTCCCTTCCTCTCTGAAAATAAAAATATATTTAAATAAATAAATAAATAAATAAATAAATAAATAAATAAAAAGAGGGCTCCAGAACACCCGCTTGTCCTCACTGGGCACTCCTTCCTGGGTCGGGGTGGGGAGCCCTGGAAACCTGTGGGAGATCAGTGAGGGCAGCCTTCTCTCCTGAGAGGAGACACAGGGGCTGGGACCTAACGGGACCCCATGGATCTGTGGGGAGGGAAGGTAGTGGTGGGAGGTGGGAGGCTGGACTGGTCCTGACCTTGCTCCGGGACTGGCCCATGCCTTGGGCCTGGGGCTGGGTATGAGCACAACAGTTCCCCCCAGGTGAGACATCCTACCCCCCCCCCGCCCCCGCCCCCGCCCCCGCCCCCGCCCGGGGGGCCTGTGCTTAGCGCTCAGCAGGCAGAGCCTCAGTGTGGCCAGCGGGTCCGTCCTGTAGCCCTACAGCGACACCAGGTGGCAGCAAGAAGAAACTGCAGCAGAGGTTGGCATAGGAACCCTGCTTCCTTCCCTCAGCACGCAGACCTGGAACTGCACCCCATGGGTGATCCCGGGTGGGTCTTGAGCAATTAAGATTGAGGAGCCTTAAGAAGGAGACAGTTGGACTCTAGTTACGAGGCAGGCAGGGGTTCAAGCAGTTGTTTGGGGAGGGACGTGGCCATGAGCCCCGCTCTGCCTGGCGCCTCTACAGAAGGGCCGGTGGGAGGGTGTGGAGGCAGAGGCACAGTGGCTCTGAGAGGGCTGTGACTGGAGGGCTCGGAAAAGAGGAGAGCTTCCTCCAACAGGAGAACGCGGCCAGCCAGAGAGGAGCACTGGACAGGGAGTCCTCTGAGACCAGGGTCTGGTCCTGGCCTTGCACCTGACCAGCAAGTTACTCAAGGTCATGCCTGGATTAACCTTCTATGTACCCCAGAGACAGACAAGGAGCAGTGATGCAGGAAATAAAGGCTGTAGATGAGTTTGCTGCTGTGTGTGCCTGTGGCGGGACTTTGGGGTAGAAAGGAAGGACAAGAAGGGATATGAGGGGAAAAGAAGAGACGAAGGGAATATTTAAAAGTTATTTCCAAGCACAGCCTCACAGGGCTGGTGTTATTTGCTCTCCCCATTTTACAGGTGAGAACACGGAAGCTCAGGGACCATTTGAGGAACTTGGGCCCAGAGGCAGAGGCCGGTACCCAATAGGGCCCCATTTCCCACATCCCTTGCAACTAGGAGTCGCCACATGACTGAGCTCTGGCAGAAGCAACATGGGCAGAAGTGGTATCCCTTTCAGGCCTGGTACCAAAATCTCCCCAGTTAGCTGCAAGCTGCGTGCCAGCACCCAGCAGGAAGGTGCCCGGATGCCAGACTCCGGCGGAGGGAGCCTCCTGCCCCTAGAAGCACCTGCTGGAGACTCGGCAGATGGCACTGGAGGAGGCTGCAAGATCCGGGTTGTCTGTTTCAGCAGCTAGCATTACCCACGCAGTAAACAGAGGGGTGGGGTTCAAGCTGGACTCCCTGGCCCCCTCCACTTTCTGTATCAGGGGCATCAAGTGAGGCTGAGAGGAACAGTGACTACAGCAGCCTGTTCCTCAAATCTGTGTGTGGGCACATGCATGTGCAATAGAGCATCACGGTGTGCAGCATGTACACCCCGGTCCCGCATGCAGTCTCGGTGTGTGCGCATGTGTGTGTGCACTAGAGAACCATGGTGTGCAGCATGTACACTCCTGCCCACATGCAGTCTTGGTGTGTGGGCATGTGCGTGTGCGCATGTGCGTGTGCGTGTGCACTAGAGAATCATGGTGTGCTGCATGTACACTCCTGCCCCGCACGCAGTCTTGGTGTGTGGGCACATGCATGTGCACTAGAGAACCATGGTGTGCAGCATGCACACTCCTGCCCCGCATGCAGCCTTGGCATGTGCCGTTCATAGTGTCCTGACTGTGGAAGGCTGGTGGGTTTTACTGTTAAATCATCGTTTTGAGCTCATTCTTGTTAAGGGCCGCAACGGGCAGCTTTTCCTGCCCCTCAAGGATGAGGGGAGGGGTGGGAGGGCCAGGCCTGGCTTTAGACTTTAAGTGAGCCCACTGAGCAAACGGGCCAAAGGCCTCCACCCAGGTGAGCCCCCCTGGGGCCCCGGCCTACCTTGACCACGGCCTCAAACAGAGCTCCAGTTGTGAAGTCGGAGAAACCTGGTTTCCCCATCTCCTAGCTGTGAACCTTTGGCAAACTGCTAAACTCCTCTGTCTGCTATTATCACTCTTGATGGGCCAAGTGCGGGGTGGCGGGGGGGAGGTGGGGGGAGAGACAGGGTAAGGCCTGTGATGTGCAGGGGGGTGTGATGACTAAATGCTGGCACATATGGCGCTGTAGCCAGTGTTAGTCCCTGAGCATCCGTCTGAGCAGCTCCTAGCCTCCCTGCCTGAGATTAAGAAAGTCCTTGTAAACGTAGCTTTCCTCAGGCAAGAGACCCCAGGAGGCCAGCTGATCAGCAGGGCCTGGCAGAAGGGGCACAGGAAGCAAGTGTCCTGGAAGGCCAGGCTGTGCTCGGCTGGGACCCAGGCATGGTGCTGGAGCAAGGGTCCTGGTTCCTGAGGGGCAGGAACAGAGGAGGAAGGAGTGGAGCCAGCCTACACTCCTGCAGCATGTCCCCAGTCCATTGCCTCCTGCCCCCTTGCTTGGGACCCTAAGAATCAACTCCCCCACCACCCAAGAAAGGTTTCCAATCCCTAGGAAGGACCCACCCACATCGTTCCATTCATGATTTGTCCCCAAAGAAGTTTCTTTGGCCTCATGGGTCCGGGCTGAGGCCCCGCTCAGAGGCCACCCACCGCCTCTCCGCCGGCCCTTGGGCTGATGGTTACCGTTTCTGCCCGTGAACATCCAGAGGAATCGCGGACACTCCACTTCCACCGTCTGTCCGGGCTCAGAGGAGGGCCAGCAGCTCATGTTCTCCCACAGCCGCGGGCAGCCTGCCAAGAAGAGCAGCAGCATCAGACAGGGATGGAGCGTGGGCCAAGGGCTACCCCGCTGCCCTGCCGTCACCCCCGACACCCTGGCTGCCAGGAGCTCCCATTAGGGACTGCCTTTCTGAGTGCCTTTTCATCGGGGCCCTGGACTCTGCCATAGAAGCGCTCAGTATTGATGACAGGGAGGGAGGGAGGGAGAGAGGGAGGGAGGGAGGGAAGGAGGGAGGGAGGGAGGCTTATTAGTGCAGGTCTGGCTTTCTCTAGAGCAGAGACATCTCCGGCCCTCGGCTCTCATTAATTGACTCAATGGCAGTAAGCCTCCATCCTGGCCACCAGTATAACCCTAAGGGGAGCTTTAAAAATACACATAACTGGGCCCTACACCAGCCATCCTGATTTAATTGGTCTGGGGTGGTCCCAGGCATGATGTGTGGTCAAGCTTTCCAGGTCATTCCAAAGAGATGGCCAGGTTGAGAATCCGTACCCAGGGTTCTCAAATTCCAGCTCGCATCGGAATCATCCAGAAGGCTTGTTGCAACACAGCTAGCTGAGCCCCACCCCAGAGTCTCAGTGGACCCGGGAATTTGCCTTTCGAACAAGTGCCCAGGTGAGGCTGCTGCTGGCCGGGGACACACTGAGAGCCACTGCGCGGCCTTTGGGAGTTGCAGCGGTGCGGCCACTGCCTCTGTCGTGGGAATGTTGCTGAAAGATTTCCCTCTCACCGGGTTTCCTTTACGAGGGCCCCTCCTGGAAGATGGACCTGGTCCCAAGGCAAGGAGACGCTGAGCGGATGGTGAACAACTACGACACAGCTGTCCTCAGAGACACTGTTTCCTCTGTGACTTGGCTGCCAGGAAGCTCAGAGCCACGTTTGTGGCCCAAATCTGGTAGATGAAGGACTGTGAAAGGAGTCAGAAGATTGCTGGTGTCTTCAATGCAAAATAAGGCTCTTCTAAGCCAGCCTTCCGGGTGATCTGATGCTACGGTCTCCCAACTTTTCTTGTCTTTGGGGACTTTTGTTGTCCTTGAGCTACCATGCCACTCTAAGGTGTCGATACCCGATAGCAATGCAAATGATCCTTGTCCACAGGCATGCAATGAGTTTTGTCCAGTCGGGTTTCAACTGGGCAAAATTGT